TGGAAGACCCAATGGCTGCTTTCCTTACAAAGTATTAAAGAACCATCCCTGTCAAGTAGAAAGAAGGAAGATTCAGCGATAGCTTTTGTCATTGAGTGTCATCATGAGCAATACCAGCTGAAAATAGATGGATGGAAGTGTTTATGGCCTCAACGAGTATTTAAAGGACAATCCTTGTGAAGTGTTAAGAACAGTCTTTGCCAAAAGTTGAGAGCAATATCAACAGAAAGTTGTAAGGTTTAGTGACTGCTTTCCTCGTCTCATCTTGTTACAGAAGAGAAGCAAAAAATAAGGATTGCAGATTGAAATTGCATTTTTTAATCACCAAATACAGAACAGTGGTTGTAGAAATATCAATGGACGTTTTAATGATCATTTTATCATTATTTATCAAGAAGTATACCAGTATGACCACTTTTTTCACCAAATATTCCAGGGGTCTGCACCTCTGTCTCCTGCTTACTGTGAACTCTCAAGACATCAACCACAATGATTCTACGGAGGTGCCGTCCTCATATTGAAGATGAGCTCATGATCAGTCAAAGAAATGTTGCGTAGATTTGATTACAGCCTCCAAATTTACATAACCTAGAGAATCCAACAACGACTCTCCTTGTCAAGTTCCATGATACTGATAGCAGAACAAACCATTGATCCCCTTCCCTGCCTTGGGAAGAAAATCCTCTCTCCTCAGAAGGAACAACATACAGTGAGACTCAAACTAGCTCCATTTTTACTTCCTTGAGCAGATACAGGTGCCTTTATTGTGAAGTGTATTCCCATAGGATGTATTTCATGCCCAGTACTGGATCAAGCATTATAAGTTGAAATTCACCAGTAAATTTCATATTTAACAAACCTTTCAGAATTTTTTAATGAATTGTTAATGATGATGGAGCGAAGAGAAAAAAAAGGACAAGTTTTTATCTTTGAAGAAATGTATCTCTGTGTCATCAGGGCACTCTCTCACAGCGAGTAAATTGATTTTTCAATCTGCTGTTTCTTGAATATAAGTACAGTTTATTAAACAATTTCAGAATCAAAGCATTGAGATGCTGTGAAGAATGCAGAAATCTCTTGGTCAAGTGAAGTGTAAGATATATTTTTGATAATTTTACAAATTGATTTTTAATAGAGGTTTGAGAGCCTTGGGCATGTTAGACTGTTCCAAAGGTACCTTGTGTGGGTATTATTTGTTGTATATTGTGCCCTATTGGTTGTACCTGCCATCAGTTTTGAAAGAAAATCCAAACTACTGTACTCTAAAAGAAAGAGAAAAAAGCAGAGAAGCGAGCTGGTGAAAGGATCAAAAGATAATGCAAAAACACCACTAAAAGGAGACACTAAACTCCCATTGGGTTAATGAACCGGATAATTCCCTACCAGCATGTATAGACCTGGATCTACATTTTCTTAAAATAACTCAAACTGCAAGTTGTTGCTGTGGAAATTCGGCATTTTGGGCAGTTCTGAGGAACTCCCTAACCTTTCTCTTGTATCAAAATGTTCTGTGAAATCCTAATTTTTCTGATCCTGTGTAATTCCCTTGCATCAAATACACGCATATTTTTTTTTTTAATGAACAATTTTTATCAAGCATAGTGACATGACACATTTTGAATTGATTTGTTTTATGTATTTTATAGAAATCATAATTTCTTATTCAAGACATCAATGGCTTATAAACTATTCATGTGACAAGCATAGTAGAAATCGTCGGGCAAAGCTTAGAGACTCTTTGGAATGCTTTAAACTATATGCTATATGTTTGTTTTATCAGTTCTAATGATGGATTGGTATTTGATGTACATTTGCACACACCCAAGAAAAAACCTTAAAGGAAACCAAAACCTTCATACTAAGTTACTTTTATTGTAAAATAAAATCAGTGAAAATTTGAACAAAATCGGGCAAGGAATAAGAAAGTTAGAGCATTTTGAAATGAATAGTCACTAGAGGGCGGTATTCAATTTGATGACATCATCTGTAAACAACTCTCCATGCCTTTTGTACATAAAATTTCACAATTTTTTTGTTTTCTTCGTATTTATTTGTGTTCTTGATCCGACTTCATAACATGTGAAGTAGAATATCATTTTGCATTCTATATCTTGCTTTCAGGGGAGTACATTATCTCAATCACAAGAAAGAAGGAAAAACATGAAATTTGATGTACAAAAGGCATGGAGAGTTGTCCACAGATGATGTCATCAAATTGAATACCGCCCTCTAGTGACTAGTCATTTCAAAAAGCTCTTACTTCCTTATTCCTTGCCCGATTTTGTTCAAATTTTCACTGATATTTTTCAAATATCTTAAACTTTACAATAAAAGTAACTTAGTATGAATGTTTTGGTTTCCTTTAATACTGAATACCAGCCATGTTAATAATATGATTGCAGGGCCCTTCGGGAGAAGGGTATTAATACTACCAGGCTTCCCTGGATTGAACGAGTTACATTATTAATAGTATTATTACCTTTTTAGTCTGATCTGCTGTACTCCGCATCTTTTTTTCAATTGCATTTGCTATTACATAGCTAGAAACGCTCCTCTTGTACATTTACCTGTAAATAAACCATTTATTATGTACATCTTAAATATTAAAATCTGATATGAAATGTGACATTTTATCCTTGTAATTTGTGTTTCATGTATATGGAGTTACTGTTTGCAATTTTGAAACGAAATTACAGTCAACAACTAAATTATTCATACCCTTACCAAGTTTTGTACTTTTATCATTGTGAAAAATGTATTTGTCCCGAATTCTGTTTCTTGATAATGTGGCGTATTAAATCTTAAATTTAAAAATGTTTAACAAACGCCCTTATTCAACCAGTCCACCATTCATTCTTGAGTTACGAAAAACACAAACAAATTTACAAGGAGTATGAATATTTCTGTTGTTAGCTGTATGTAAGCTTGTACCAGTGTTCATGGGTAGCAAAATGATGAAGAGAAAGAGAGAACTATTTCTCCCAATGAGGCATTTGAAAATACATGGCAACTGTCTTAAACAAAGGTCCTGCTTGTATTCACTGCGCTCTGTATTAAAGGTAATACAAAGTTTTGGTATGGGGTCACGAATTTGGTTCAAATGAACATATTGGAAGCATATGTGATCCTACAATATTCAGTCATCGTTGTCTCGGTTAAAATCTATGCTAAAGTAATGAAATTATAAATAATTAACTCTTCATGCTGTAAAGCTCCCTCTCAAGGTCAAGATATTAATTAAGCTATAAAACAATGTTTCTTGACTAAAATCGACCGACTAGATATTCCCGTTTGGAAATTATATATCACAACTACATATTCAGAGATTTTCATGGTCGCAGCTACTATTGTATGGCCGTAGGAGCTATTTGAAATTTGTCAAAATGTACCGGGAGCACCGGTAAATTGTTATATTCCATTTTTCTCGAAAGCAGAAGTGTTTTAGGGGCTAAATTTTCTAGTGCTTTTAATACATGCACAGGGGCATCTGAATTTATCAAAATTGTAAAGAATCACTATCCACCCAATTTTCAAAATTTCCCAAAACTTTTTATTACCTTTAAGATACAGAAATGTGAAGCATATTATACTTTACATCATTAAAAAAAAATGCAATGGTTTTGCCGCCTCATAACTGAAAGAGCACTAATTACATCCAGTTTCACATTGTGGTCCCGATACTGTGAAACCAGAATACTTTATCAATTTGAAATTAAAAAATTGTAATGTGCAGCATTTTTTTTACCTGCTGAAAGTATTGTGAATGGCATAAACTTGGGGTTATGGTTTTAACAGGAAGGTGCCTAAAACGATCTGCAAACGAGATCTTGTTATAAAAGAGCGGGTAAAAGAGATATGTGAACATCCTGCAACTACGTTTATTTTGATACTGTGGCATAGGCATTACAAATTTCTGACAAGTGAAAAAAAGTAGATGACAATTTACTCAAAAAAGCCTCGGACAAGCAATAGAAGAAAAGAGAGTTATCAGAATTTCGGTTGAAAATATTGAAGGGGGTGTCACTTTTTCTTTTGTGTACTCACTGTATGTCACATCAAGTTATAAAGGGGCATGTGTCAGGTTGTGTCGGATATCGGATCGCAGGTGGATCCTAATAATAGTGTCCGTTGGGCGTACTCACGTCTGCCATTCCGAAAAGCTACTTCGCTTTTAACGCCCCCTTTTCACGAGGTCAAAGAATGGTTTTAACTGCGGTAGTTTTACACCATACGATATTAACGGTTTACCTTTTTATGGATTTGTTTTTGCTGGTAAGAGAACATCGTAAGAGTTAACACGGAGGTATATCACGCCATCCTGAAAAAATACCATCTCTCTCTCTCTCTCTCTCTCTCTCTCTTTCTCTCCCTCTTAAGGTGATCAAACATGTAAAGTATACAGGGCACGCAGAAAAAGAAGAGGGGTCAGGGGGCTTCAGCACCCATATTTTTCAATAGACAGCGAGTTAATTCCACGCCCACACAGTTCTCGCTCTTAATGAAAATAAAAGTCATAATCCCAGTGAAGACTCGAAATAGATTTCCCCTTAATTTAAACCATTTCACCTTTTAACAAATTGCACTATTTTATCTTGATTTGTGTTAGTTGACATTTTCGGTCAGTTTTCTGACAAAACCATCAGGATGCTAATTATATAAACATTATAAATATTTATATAATGCATATAATTGCTATAATTTGTACGATTTATGTATTTGTGAGGGAAAATGGATGTATGAAGGTATTACTTAAAAAAAATATCTTATTCAGCCTATTTTTTGTTTCAATTTCTTTTTACATACGAGATTTTATATGTTTACTTGTTTTGTTTTGTTGTTAATGACGAAATATTATTTGCAGGGAAGTGATTGAAAACAAATTGAGAATGTTAAAAAACTTGAAAAGAAGGAGCAGAGGAGATAAAGAAATATAAATGTGACGATGAAAGATAACTAATAATATATGACAATTAACAAAATAAGAGAACTAGAATATTAACCCATATCCGCCTAAGGCATTATACTATGCAAACGCCGTTCGTACCTAGCCACCACACACAAATATTCGCACTAACAGCATTTTTCACTTCACATCTCTCTCGAAGGCACAACAAATATCGGAAAGTTGACAAATTATGTATCAAAAGAAAGAGCATAAAATTGCCTTTATTATGATATAAATTTCAATGCATTTTGACAAATCAAAAAGATATACCAGTTGACCGAAGTCATATATGAGTTATGAAAATATGAATAATAAATATCAACTTGATATTCATTCACAAATCAAAAATATTTTCCTCCTCTGCATTTAGACTTGAATACCATTTTCGAAATATTCAAAGCAAGAGCTTTACAGTGATATATGATACATGCATATTGTGACCTTCTAAGTATGAATAATTGAAGAAGTAAATATATAATACAATTGCTCTGTTTATGATAAATGGTGTCTTTTCCATACAAATATTATCTACTAAGAAGGGAAGATTGTTCTTTACAATATTCTTTGAAATGAGGTACCACATCCACCCCTATCAATGCATATCTTTTAGGATGAACTGACATCAATTTGTTGCAAACATATCACAAATACATATGTATACTTATATAAACAAACGTCATAATTACGAATGTAATGCATTTTCTTTGTAATCCTTTATTTCTTTTCAAAAATAAAGTTATTCAAACATAGTTTTTGTTATTATTTGAATGTTTGTCTACATTACAATGAAAGAAAACTTTCTTGTACTTTTTAAGATTGAATACATGTATTTACATTACAAATGATGAATCAACATTCTGAACCTTGATCAATGAAAATTATTTTCATCAGAGAAATAAAAAGAGTTGTGTTCCCGCCTCCATTTGTGTTTATTTACTGGATTGTGAAGTAAAGGCGTGTCACTCGAAGGAACATCAAACATGAACTATTCACTTACATAATTTTAAGACACATTTGAAAATTGGGAATACATTCGTCATAGAATTAAATCATTCATCAATACACATAAATAGTAATACAACATAAACAAATGTCATAATTACAAACATTATACATTTTCTTTGCAATCCCTCATTTCTTGTGAAAAATAAAGTTATCCAAACATAGTTTTTGTTATTATTTGAATGTTTTCTGCATTACAATGAGAGAAAACTTTCTTGTACTTTGTGAGATTGAATACATGTATTTAATTTGAAATGATGAATCAGCATTCTGAACCTTGATCAATGAAAATTATTTTCATCAGAGAAATAAAAAGAGTTTTGTTCCCGCCTCCATTTGTGTTTATTTACTGGATTGTGAAGTAAAGGCGTGTCACTTGAAGGAACATCAAACATGAACTATTCACTTACATAATTATAAGACACATTTGAAAATTGGGAATACATTTGTCATAGAATAAAATCATTCATCAATACACATAAATAGTAATACAACATAAACAAATGTCATAATTACAAACATTATACATTTTCTTTGTAATCCCTCATTTCTTGTCAAAAATAAAGTTATCCAAACATTGTTTTTGTTATTATTTGAATGTTTTTCTGCGTTACAATGAGAGAAAACCTTCTTGTACTTTGTGAGATTGAATACATGTATTTACATTTGAAATGATGAATCAGCATTCTGAACCTTGATCAATGTAAATAATATTCATGAGAGAAAATAAAAAGAGTTGCGTTCCTGCCTCCATTTTGTATTTATTTACGGAATTGTGTAATGAAGTACGTGTTACTGGCAAGACGTCAAACATGAAATGCATTTCATTTACATCAAAATAACAATGCTTATAGTTACAATCCTCTTACATTATGCGAACAAAAAATATGAAACATAGCCATCTCAGAGTAACTAGTAAATATCACAGAAATAATTGTCCGTTTAGAAATAATACATTCTCGTGATATTCAGTTTGAATTCATTAGTTCAGTTCACCTGTCTTTGATTTATCTCTCTTCAATTGCACACTAACTTCAATTTTTTGCGAGCTTTCTTCTTGTGCTGTCGTTCTGGATCATTGTACGCGAACTTATCCATGTAATGGTAACGACTGAAGCATGGGTCGGGACACATACGCACCTCACACACGGAACAAGTATAAATGGTGTCTACGCGTTGAAGATGGATCTTGCAGGTACTTGCGGTTTCCATTTTCTTCGGTGCATGATTCAAAGTCCTGTTGAACCGCACAACGTTGTCATGTGGAGGAGGGCTTGGTGTTTTCCTGTATGTCCTTCCTGCAATCAAGCTTGTTGAAAGCCTTTCCCTGAAGTCTCGTAGCTTTACCTTTGTATTGTGAGACTTGTTGTACAAGATACATGCGTTCAGTACAGCGATGTCGAGCATGTACCAGATTACTTTATGGTACCACTTTAGAGATTTCGTTTGGCGTTTGTAGCATGCGATTTTTTTGTCTGCGAGGTCTACACCTCCCATGTGTTTGTTGTAGAGACCTACGATATCAGGACGCTCAATCTCTATCCGTGTCCATTGACCATTTCTCTTTGCCATGCGATGGACTGGCTGCGTTTCTTTCTTCAGAGGAACAGTGGAAAGAATATATACCGGCTTCGTATCTTTCCATGTTACACAATATAACTTATCACTCTGCCGCCATAGTGTTTCACCTCTCGCTAGCTGTTTCACCTGTTGTTTTTTCTTTCCCACAGTTTCGCTGGGTAGGTACTTGCGGTTTTCACGAAGAGTTCCTACAGCCATGAATCCTGAAGTGTAGAGTGCATTGAACAATGGGACAGATGTATAGAAATTGTCCATGAAAATAACATGTCCAAAACCACGATAATTCTGGGAGAGATTGGTCACAACATTGAATGTGTTTTGTCGTTCACCCTGAGTTTTGCCTTCATATAAGTCTAAATTCAACACATAGGCAGATTGGGATTCAGCTAGGGCAAAAACTTTCAACCCCCAACGTGTCGGCTTATTCTTCATGAATTGCCTAGCAGGCATCCTCGCTTGTCCCTTTATCATGGATTCATCAATCGCAACATCTCGCTCAGGGTTGTATACCTCTTGGAACTTCGGCACTAAGTAGTTGAAGATGTACCGGATCTTGTAAAACTTGTCGAATCCAGCTAGTTGGCGATTTGTGATGGCGATCTCTTCATCTACGAAATGAATATAACGCAGAACCTGGAGGAATCGGTCGCGTGGAAACACCTCTGGAAAGCCGTCAGTTCTTGTCAGCTTATGTTTCACACTCCAATACTTGCGTATATCACCTTTCAGCTGCAAGAGACCCATGCCGATGATCACACCAAACCAAGTCTCGAGTTCAGCACGGGTAACAGGATACCACTTCATTTTGTGCTTTGTTGGAGATTTTAGTTTTTTTCGCTCGAAGTTCTTGTTGGTAAGCAGTACAATTTCATTCAAAAACTCATCAGTGAACAGGAGTTGAAATGTTTCTGCCTCTGATAATGTCGCGAAATTCCCAGTAGGTCCTGGTTGGGGTCCGGTAAATCGTTTACCTGCTGAGTCTGTCACATTATCAGTCCATTGACGGGGTGGTGTTCGTGATCGATCTCGTACACGTCTGCGACCAGGGGGCCGACCTCTTGCCTTTTTGCGTCCACGCTCAGCAATGAGTTGTTGTTCTGCTTCCTCATCAGATGACTCAGGTGCAGATGGCATTGCTTCATCTGAATCTTCATCATCAGGTTGTGCCGGACTTTGTGGAGGTGAAATTTGAATGGGCACAGGGTTTGGAATTGCTGTACAAATCCTGGCAGTAGATCTAGAAGTACTGGCACTGACACTTGCAACATGATCCGAATCATCACCATCAATATGCGTAGCAAAGTCACTATACGTATCTGACTCTGAGCTTTCCCTGTCATCACCATGATCACTATCCTCTTCATCATCAATTTCATCGAAGTCAAGGTATCCTCCAGCATTCAGTTTGTCTGCAATCTTTTCATTTCTTCTATGAAGTTTGCGAACCAGTTTTAGAGGTATATTGTCAGTTTCTGAATCAGAGGAATCATATTCTGATGATGAAGCCATCGATTGACTTCATAAAGTCTGAGTTTTCCGGCACCACAAGGCTATAAATTGATCGAATAATCTGTCTTTATTCTTACAGCAGAGTAAACAGATGGGACTGAAGTGAATGAAATAACTTACAAATACGATTGTCTTTTTCAAAGTTTATTCGAGAAAAGGTCCAGGAAGTACTCCAAACACGATAAGAGTTCCCAAATACAACGCGGCGATGTTAGCGTGCATTCATAGTCGCCCTGGTAACGAAGGGATCGGTGCCGAAATATGTGAAACAATTGCACATTTATCGAATGGATTTATAGCTTTCTAGACTTCGGTAGCAACAGGTAGGCACTTTTTAGGCGACTCTGACGTGAGGCGGAAGTGAATTCACAGTAAAGGTCACACGAAGCCTAATAAATATTCATGAGGCAAATGTTACTGATGGTCACACACACTCATCTCACTCTACGTTCGCCTCACCTCACTGTATGTTCGCCACATAGTAAATCCAACAGGACTCTGTCTTTGTTTGCATAATTGAATTGTTTTAAATTCTATATTCTAAAGAAGGCCCTATTATTTTCATTAAATTCGTGTTGCGCGCAATAATTTTACGTTCACTCTTGCTAAATAAAATGCTTCATTAAGATAAATAACGTTGATTGTTTTAATGCAGTATAATTATGGTACATCATTCTACGTTCGCCTCACCTCACTGTATACGTTCGCCACATAATTCTCTCACATGCCAACATGATTTAGTTTGCATTGAATTGTTTTTTAATTATATAGTCCAGATTAATAGGCCTATAGGAATATAATTATTGTGTCAAATCTCATGTTAGTGACCTGTAAAGAAATCATTAAGAGAAGTGAAACATAAATGTTTCAATTTCTTATAGGCCTAGTACCTCACTCTACGTTCGCCTCACCTCACTGTACGTTTGCCACATAATTCTCTCTACATCAGGTAATCCAACATGATTTTGTTTGGATTGAATTGTTTTTAATTCTATAGTTCCCAATTAATAGGCCTATAGGAATGTAATTATTGTGCAAAATCTTATGTTAAAACCTGAATACAGAAGAGAAAAATGGAACATAAATGTTTTAATTCACGTAGGACCTACATACCTCACTCTACGTTCGCCTCACCTCATTGTAAGTTCGCCACATCATTCTCTCTACCGTTCAACATGACTTTGTTTGCATTTAATTGTTTTTAATTCTTTATTGGCCGGATTAATAGAACTATAGGAATATAATTATTGTGCCAAATCTCAGAACCTTAATATCTAATAAATGAAACATTCATGTTTTAATTATATATGCCTACATCACTCTACATTCGCCACATAATTCCCTTTATCCAGGCATGACCTAATTGTTTGCATTGAAATGTTTTGAATTATATAGTCCAGATTTAGTTATAGGCCTATGATAATTATAAATGCATGTTGTGTATTCTTCTTTTTCTACATACTTGTATTGAGGGTAGCTGCCCTCATGGGGCGTCTCTAAGGGGGATGTGCGGGGTGCGACCACCACCCCCCCCCCCACCCCCACAAGCACATTTATTAAATCTCTGCCAAGATTCGCTGAAAGACTTTCAGTTCAGGTTACAGTTTTAGGTGTGCCAAAAGTTTTTATTATAATGTGTATTGTGTATGTATTATGTATAAAGAAATGTGTCTTTCTTGTACAATCTAAAGCAGCCCCCAACCCCCACCCCACAAAAAATCTCTCCTTGTTTAGTTTGTAAGATTAACAAAAGGAAAGGTTTCTGGTTGTTTAGTGTTAAAAGGTTCTATGGAAATATCAAAGTGATGTCCCTAATATGTATATATACTATTTGTGATGAGGGAAATGCTTGGGGTGGGGTCATATACTTACCTAATGTAAAATACAGGGATGTGCCTCTCTAATACATGAGATGAGAACAAGTTTGGTGTGATGGGAGCTTTAATAAAACAAAAATACATCATATTTCGTTCAAAGAACAGGAGAGTTCCCGGAGACATTAATTACATTTCTGTTAACAACATAGTCCTTCAACGTGTACATTCACTATCCTTTCTTGGTGTTACTATAGACGAATTCCTGGACTGGAAGACCCACATTAAAAATGTAACTTTGAAAGTATCTGGCAGCATTGGAGTATCATCAAAATTAAAATTTACCGTTCCCCAAAATGTTCTAATGTTATTATACAACCCGATAGTATTACCCCATTTATCTTACTGCAATATAGTGTGGGGAAATTGATATTTATCTCATCTAAATAAAATGGAAATACTTCAAAAGAGGGCGATTCGAATTTTAACATATTCAATGTATAATTCTCATACGAGACTATTATTTAGCAGAATGAAGATTCTTCCTGTCCAAGAACTATTTCATGTTTCATTTCCACACTGGTAATCTTCCACACATTTTTCAAAACATGTTTATTAGAAATTCATCCGTTCATTCACATAACACAAGGCAAAAAATGTTATTACACAAACCCCCTGTACGTACTACCCATGCACTGAAATCATTTAGAAATGTGGGAATAAGCAAATGGAATGATTTAAACGAGGATATAAGATCAAGTTAAACTTTGTCTAGGTTTAAAGTTTTGTGCAAAGGGGAACTATTTATTGATTTGTAAAACTGGGTAGGACTATAAGTTTTAATCTCACATTTCGCATTTTTCATGTGTTTCCTCTTCTTCCTTTTTATTTTAAATATTCTACTCTCTTCTTCTCTCTCTCTCTCTCTCTTATAATATGCTTTAAACTACATTGCATTGTGTGTGTGTGTGTGTGTGTGCGCGCGTGTGGGTGTGTGTGTGTGGGTGTGCGTGTGTGTGTGAGAGTGAGTATGGCTGAGTGTGTTTGCAAGATATTTGTAATTGTTTTGTAATAAGTATGAATATACATGTATCTCTTTTTTTTTTTGCTTGTTATAGCATGTTTTTATTATACAGTATGTATTTAATTTGTTAATGGGCCCCATTTACAAGCTCTGCTTCTCAGGGGTTCATAGCCTGTCATCATATTATAATTATTGTTCCAGTACAAGGCAGTGTCATTGTAAATTGTTTTTAATGATTGGCTGAATACATTGAAATTGAATTGAATTATGAATAGAGAGAATATGAGTGGCGAATGTACAGTGAGGTGAGGTGAACGTAGAGTGAGGTGTAGGCCTTTAGTAAATGTAAACATCTACTTCTGTATATTTAGGTCCTAATATGAGATTCGACACAATTAATATATTCATATAGGCCTACTAATCTGGACTATATAATTAAAAAACAATTCAATGCAAACTAAATTATGTTGGATTTTTTAGTGTGAGAGAATTATTTGGCGAACGTACAGTGAGGTGAGGCGAACGTAAAGTGAGGTGTAGGCGAACGTAAAGTGAGGTGTAGGCGAACGTATAGTAAGGTGTAGGCCTATATACAGTGAATTAAAGCATTTATGTTTCTTTTCCCTTAATGACTTCTGTGTTTAGGTTTTAACATGAGATTTTGCACAATAATTATATTCCTATAGGCCTATTAATCGGTGACTATAGAATTCAAAACAATTCAATGCAAACTAAATCATGTTGGATTTATGTGGCGAACGTAGAGTGAGGTGAGGCGAACGTAGAATGAGGTGTCATCATAGAGATATATACTTAATAGTATATATCTCTATGGGTGTCATATACTGAATTAAAACAATCAACGTTGAATTTTATTTAGCAAGAGTAATTATTGCTCGCAACACGTACGAATTTAATGAAAATAATAGGGCTTTCTTTAGAATATAGAATTTAAAACAATTCAATTATGCAAACAAAGACAGAGTCCTGTTGGATTTACTATGTGGCGAACATACAGTGAGGTGAGGCGAACGTAGAGTGAGATGAGTGTGTGTGACCATCAGTAACATTTGCCTCATGAATATTTATTAGGCTTCGTGTGACCTTTACTGTGAATTCACTTCCGCCTCACGTCAGAGTCGCCTAAAAAGTGCCTACCATATTACTGTAGCTTTGTATACAACGACAAACTCGTACAGCATTGTGGGATAGCAGGTCAGAGTTCACAGTGTTATACAAAAGCAATTTAAATGACGTCATTCTCGCGGCAAGCTTGACTACGGAATTTTCCGTACTTCGGCGATTGCAGCATTCGCGGCTTCTACGGGAAATCCCGTAGATCGGCGGATATGGGTTAATAAAATACAATAAACTAGATAGTTTAGAGACTAATTAAGTAAGTGGCCACTATCCACAAATTGCTCTACAACTTGAGATCTTCGGTAAATCGGGATTTTCGATTATCTCCTAATTATAATAATTGCGCTATTCTGATTTTAGATTATCTTCGAATGGATTTTGATCTAGTAAAATGACTTGAGTGATCGATGGAGGGAGAGTTGGTCAATTACGCGATTAACTTTCCAGGGAGTGATGAACAACGGGTCATTTACATTTGGAAGCAACCTCTTTCACCTATATGTTGGCAAGTTGCATGTAAGACTCCGACATTATTTGTGACATAGATTAATTTGAACCTCTAGGCAAAGCTTGTCGGCATATTTCAAAAGAACGACTTCCTTTTTTGTTCACCCTCGTAAAAAAAATATAATTCAATATGTGATTCCCCTTTCTCTCATCCCCCCCTCTCTCTCTCTCTCTCTCTCTCTCTCTCTCTCTCTATCTCTCCCTCTCTCTCTCTCTCTCTCTCTCTCTCTCTCTCTCTCTTTGAGTGTTTTTTATGTGTGTATGTGTGTGGCTGATGTTGCTATGGACAGGCTCCATGTAGGTGTAGGGTGGGGGCGGGTGGGAGGGGGAAAGTTAGCTCATGTGTCCCCCAAGTCAAAATCGTTTTCTACACTTAATCACCCCCATTCCTCCCTCCTCCACTGGAAACCCTTCTCCGGCACCTCCCTGTTTGTTAATTCATACATTCATACTTATTTATTTTAATCTTCTTTTTTTTGTGCTGTTGTTGCTAAACCACACAATCAAAATATTGTGCCCTCCCCAATCCCCAAGTGGTGTGAGGATTTGCGATGTATTTTCAGTTTGCATGTTCCCTTTCAAATCAGGCCTCGGTGTGATTGTTCTTTCTCTGTCTCACTCTCTCTCTCTCTCTCTCTCTCTCTCTCTGTCTCTCTCTCTCTCCCTCTCTCTCTCTCTCTCTCTCTCTCTCTTCCTCTCTCTCTTCTCTCTCTCTCTCTCTCTCTCTCTCTCTCTCTCCCACACACATACACCCACTCTCTCTCTCTCTTCCCAATTACTAGAGCCCTCCTATAGGAAAGTTACTACAACATGGTATACAATAA